CCTTAAGAACTTTTTAACTGACAGGCATTTCCGTGTTCGGGTTAATAATGTGCTCTCCCCGGACTTTATCCAAGCTGAAGGTGTCCCCCAGGGATGTGTTCTGAGCACAACACTTTTTCTCCTTGCTATTAATGATTTGGCCTCTAGTCTTCCATCAAATATTTGGTCATCACTCTATGTTGATGACTTCGCTATTGCCTGTGCAGGCGCTGACTATCACCTTATTACAGTTTCTCTCCAGCATGCAGTCGACCGTGTTTCCAATTGAGCCACCACACGTGGGTTTAAATTTTCCAGCACTAAAACCCACCAAATTACTTTCACTAGACGTTCTGTCATCTCTGATCATCCTTTGTACCTCTATGGCTCCCGTATCCTGAACGTGATACAGTCAAGTTTCTGGGCCTCCTCTTTGATCGTAGGTTATCCTGGAAACCTCACATTACCTCTCTGAAGGCAACTTGTCACAGCCGGCTGAACCTTCTTAAAACCCTTGCTCATCTTTCATGGGGAGCTGATCGTCGAACCCTCCTTCGCCTACATTCCACCCCTTATTTTATCGAAAACTTGATTATGGTGACCAGATCTATTCAGCGGCATCTCCTGCTACTCTCTCTAGCCTTAACCCCATTCATCACCAAGGATTACGTTTATGCCTTGGTGCTTTTTACTCTTCCCCTGTCGAGAGCCTCTATGCAGAAGCGAACATTCCATCCTTATCCGATCGCCGTGATGCCCATTGCCTTCACTACTATGTACGCTCTCATGATCTCCGCAATCCTTCCATTTATAGAATGGTCACTGATATTAGTAGACATTCTTTATTTGTTCGCCGCCCCTTCTCTCTTCGCCTTCATTCGCTCTTGTCTCTCTTCAATTACCACCTTTCTATGTACATGTAGCATCTCACTTTTCCCTACCCCCTGGGAAGTTCCAGCTGTTTGAGTCTGTTCTTTCTCTCTCCCTTGCTCGAAAGCCCAACTGTCTACGGTCGCTTCCCGCTCTCTTTTTCTTGACCACTTTCACTCTCATTCTCATGCCATTGCTGTGTACACAGATGGCTCTAAGTCTTCTGACGGCGTAGGATTCGCAGCAGTGTTTCCGGACAGCGTCGTACAAGGGCATTTACTATCTTCGGCTAGTATTTTTACTGCTGAATTGTATGCCATCCTTACAGCACTTATCCGTATTGCATCTATGCCTGTGTCATCATTTGTGGTTGTCTCAGACTCCCTTAGTGCTTTACAGGCTATACAGAAATTTGATACACCTCACCCCTTAGTCCTCCATATCCAACTTTGGCTACGCCGCATCTTTACCAAGCATAAAGATATTGTTTTTTGTTGGGTCCCTGGTCATATTGTTTTTTGTTGGGTCCCTGGTCATGTTGACGTACAGGGCAATGAACAGGCAGACACTGCTGCGCAGTCAGCAGTACATGACCTACCAGTTTCATGTAGAGGTATTCCATTTACGGACTATTTTGCTGCAATATCTTCCCAACTCCACACCCGTTGGCAACAACGTTGGTCTACTATGCTCGGCAACAAACTTCAATCTATTAAACCGAGTATAGGTTACTGGCCGTCTTCTTATCACCAGTGTCGAGGTTGGGAGACTACTCTCTCCCGTCTTCGCATTGGCCATACTCGTCTTACTCATGGATATCTCATGGAGAGGCCCCCTGCTCCTCTCTGTGAGAATTGCCGAGTTCCATTATCAGTCAGCCACATTCTGTTGGACTGCCCACTTTATCAACGAGCACGCAGAATTTACCTCCGTCGTCGTCTTCGCTCTGCTGCTCTCTCTTTACCTTCCCTTCTCGCTGATGGACCCACCTTTCATCCAGACTCTCTCATTGACTTTTTGACAACAACTGACTTACTTCACAAATTCTGATACCTTCAGCCCTTTCTACTTAAATCTCTTGCTACCCTCTACCCCCGTACTATATCCTGCCACCGCTGTTTTCTGTAACCTACTGATCATCCCTCCTCCCTTCTGCCATCCAATACCCTCGCTTCCTTCCCTACCCTGCAGCGCTGTATAGCCCTTGTGGCCTACGCTTCTTTTTTATTATAATAATAATAATATTGAACCAAACTAATCATAAAACACAGGAAAACATCGTAAAATATTGTACGTATATACATTTTTTTTTTTTAACAAGTCGGCCGTCTCCCACCGAGGCAGGGTGACCCAAAAAAGAAGGAAAATCCCCAAAAAGAAAATACTTTCATCATCATTCAACACTTTCACCTCACTCACACATAATCACTGTTTTTGCAGAGGTGCTCAGAACACAACTGCTTAGAAGCATATACATGTACCTATAAAGATACACAACATATCCCTCCAACATGCTGATATCCTGAACCCCTCCTTTAGAGTGCAGGCATTGTACTTCCCATTTCCAGGACTCATATCCGGCTATATAAAAATAACTGGTTTACCTGAATCCCTTCACTAAATATTACCCTGCTCACGCTCCAACAGATTGTCAGGTCCCAAATACCATTCGTCTCCATTCACTCCTATCTAACACGCTCATGCACACTTGCTGGAAGTCCAAGCCCCTTGCCCACAAAACCTCCTTTACCCCCTCCCTCCAACCTTTTCGAGGACGACCCCTACCCCGCCTTCCTTCCCCTACAGATGTATACTCTTTCCATGTCATTCTCTCTAAATGACCATTCTCTCTAAATGACCAAACCACCTCAACAACCCCTCTTTAGCCCTCTGACTAATACTTCTATTAACTCCACACATTCTCCTAATTTCCACACTCCGAATTTTCTGCATAATATTTACACCACACATTGCCCTTAGACAGGACATCTCCACTGCCTCTAACTGCCTCCTCACTGCTGCATTCACAACCCAAGCTTCACACCCATATAAGAGTGTTGGTACTACTGTACTTTCATACATTCCCTTCTTTGCTTCCATAGATAACGTTTTTTGTCTCCACATGTACCTCAACACACCACTCACCTTTTGTCCCTCATCAATTCTATGATTAACCTCATCCTTCATCAATCCATCTGTCGACACATCAACTCCCAAGTACGTGTATCTGAAAACATTCACTTCTTCCATACTCCTCCTCCCCAATTTGATATCCAATTTTTCTTTATCTAAATCGTATGATACCCTCATCACTTTACTCTTTTCTATGTTCACTTTTAACTTTCTACCTTTACACACACTCCCAAACTCATCCACTATCCTTTGCAGTTTTTCTTTAGAATCTCCCATGAGCACAGTATCGTCAGCAAAAAGCAACTGTGTCAATTCCCATTTTGTATTTGATTCCCCATAATTTAATCCCACCCCTCTACCGAACACCCTAGCATTTACTTCTTTTACATCCCCATCTATAAATATATTAAACAACCATGGTGACATTACACATCCCTGTCTGAGACCTACTTTTACTGGGAAGTAGTCTCCCTCTCTTCTACACATCCTAACCTGAGCCTCACTATCCTCATAAAAACTCTTTACAGCATTTAGTAACTTACCACCTATTCCATATACTTGCAACATCTGCCACATTGCTCCCCTATCCACTCTATCATATGCCTTTTCTAAATCCATAAATGCAATAAAAACTTCCCTACCTTTATCTAAATTCTGTTCACATATATGCCTCAATGTAAACATTTGATATACACATCCCCTTCCCACTCTGAAACCTTGCTCATCCGCAATCCTACATTCTGTCTTACCTCTAATTCTTTCAATTATAACCCTACCGTACACTTTTCCTGGTATACTCAGTAAACTTATTCCTCTATAATTTTTAGTCTCTTTTGTCCCCCTTCCCTTTATCTAAAGGGACTACACATGCTCTCTGCCAATCCCTAGGTACCTTCCCCTCTTTCATACATTTATTAAACAAAAATACCAACCACTCCAACACTATATCCCCCCCTGCTTTTAACATTTCTATCATGATCCCATCAGTTCCAGTTGCTTTACCCCCTTTCATTTTACGTAATGCCTCACTCACCTCCCCCACACTCAAATCCTGTTCTTCTTCACTCCTAAAAGATGGTACACCTCCCTGGCCAGTGCATGAAATTTCCGCTTCCCTTTCTTTGTCGACATTTAAAAGTTCCTCAAAATATTCACGCCATCTACCCAAAACCTCCATCTCCCCATCTACTACTCCCCTACTCTGTTTTTAACTGACAAATCCATTCGTTCTCTAGGCTTTCTTAACTTGTTTAACTCCAAAATTTTTTCTTATTTTCATTAAAATTTCTTGACAGTGCCTCTCCCACTCTATCATCTGCTCTCCTTTTGCACTCTCTCACCACTCTCTTCACCTTTCTTTTACTCTCCATATACTCTACTCTTCATATAACACTTCTGCTTTGTAAAAACCTCTCTTAAGCTAACTTTTTCTTTTTTATCACACCCTTTACTTCATCATTCTACCAATCACTCCTCATTCCTCCTGCACCCACTCCTATAACCACAAACTTCTGCCCCACATTCAAATACTGCATTTTTAAAACTATTCCAACCCTCTTCAGCTCCCCCGCTACTCATACTTGCACCAGCCCACCTTTCTGCCAATAGTTACTTATATCTCACCTGAACTTCCTCCTCCCTTAGTTTATACACTTTCACCTCCCTCTTGCTTGTTGCCATTTTCCTCTTTTCCCATCTACCTCTTACTCTAACTGTAGCTACAACTAAATAATGATATATCAGTTGCCCCTCTATATACATGTTATGGTTTAATAACAAATAATGTGGCTGGACATTCGCGAATGTTCGAAGCTCGTGAAAGTGGAGGGTAGCTGTAACATTTAGTCGTAGAAAGGGTGTATATTTGCTGGCTAATGTATTGCCAAAAAACTAATAATGTTATTGAGACCAATTAACAAATCCTAAATAATTATTAAAATAATTTAAAATGAATTTCTGTTTAATTTGGTAAAGGCATGTTAGGATTGTGTTGCTTATTCTAATCTTCTTTACTTCAGGTGACAGTTAACACACAGATGACAGAGCTAAAGGCTTATTTGGATTACCTTTGCAAATCTACCAACATGAAGTGCCTCACCCCAGAAAAGGCCCTTAGTGGCACAGGGGACTACATGGCAGCCAACTTGTATGCTCATTCTATCTTTGGAGAAGATGCCTTGGCTAATTTGTCTATTGAGAAGCCTCTTGACAACCCTGATGCTCCAGTCACAGGTCACATCCGTATTCGTGCCAAAAGCCAAGTAAGGATAATCTTTTTTTTCATTTGTATTTCCTTACCACTGACTCGGGTGGACTCTGCAACTTGTCACATTCATTTTGGTTAAGCAAATTATTTTCTTAGGAAAACTAATTAAACTTTTATCCTTTAGTATGAGTGCCATGATTTACAAGGTTTAATCATTATTGTCAATATCCTCTCAATTTTTAAAAAAAAATCGCCAAATCCATAAGGGTCATACCGTGCTACTTGCATGGTTTTAAATGAGCAAATCTTGATTCGTGGTTTTCTTTTGAAAGTGGAAATAATGGAGGCAAGTAATTTATTTAGTTTGAAAATGTGGAATATAATACATGTACTTCTGTTTTGTAATTGGTTTACTAATCACAATTATTTTTTCCAGGGTATGGCTATTAGTTTGGGGGACCGAGTTAATAAGGTCCAAAAAGCAACAATCAAATCTGTTGGTGCTTGAGTTATTCGACAGGTCTCCTTTTCTGGTGGTGAATTGCTCTAGCATATATTTATTCTGGTTGGATTCTGAAATATATTTGAAATGTTGGCTATATAAATTAGCATTGTTGTGCTTCTCAAGTAGGTTTAGTTTACAATTTAATCGATGCAATTTATTTATAGAAATCAATATCTTTTTATTTTTTCTGAAAAGAGAGCAAAATGCTTACTATAATAGTATAAGGGGTCATTATTGAGGTCCAAGAATTTTATTTACTTTTATTTATTGTATATAATTATTATATTTGCCTGTTACAACATACATTTTTATTTTTACTTTCATTGTATGATTGACGAGGAACAGTAATAAAGTACAGTATATACATATCATGAGGTTTATTAACACAAAATTCATGGGTGTGAAACAGCCACTGTAAAACTGATAAATTTTCTTACACATTATAATTTACATGTACGTATATAGAAACTAATTGTAGTTTAACCCGTTGACTGTCGCAACCCCCAATCCTGAGGTGTCTCCTGGTGTTGCAAAATTTAAAAAAAAAAAATTATTTGTTCTTATGAAATGATAGAGAATTGTTTCCCGATTGTAATGACACCAAAAAAACGAAATTTGATGGAAAACTGACAGAATTATGCTCTCGCGAAGTTAGCGACCTCGGCGATATTTACAAATCGGAGATTTTGCCCACTTTGAGCCCTATTTTTGGCTAATTCCGTTGTTCCAGTCGACCAAACTCATAGCTATTTCTTTAGAACTCCATTTTTTCTATCGATTGAGTACGAGAAACTGCCCATTTACCGATTTCAACTACCCAATAATGTGGTCAGAAATATGCAATTTGGCCAATTTCACGAAAATTAAAAAATATGACTATTTCAAAATAAGGTCCAGAATGGAAAAATGCAGACATTCCTGGCTCTAAAATAGCATTTTCTTTGTTTATCAGTCATGTCTCCAGGCCCCTCTGATAATACTCTTGCTTTTTATTTTGAATTTTTTTATTCAAACAAAAAATAGAAGACTTACTATTATGCAGACTACTACAATACTGTAATAATTGTATAAATAACATCAACCCATTCATGACTGCATTTAGAATGGCTAGTTGGACATTTGTTGGACAATGACATTATTTGTTTACTTTTGAACATTGGCAAAAATCAAACATTTCCCTATTTTGAGCTCCATTTCCAGGTTCTTTTTATAGAAAAAAAAACAATCAAAATCACCTCTATTTTTATAATTTTGTTTTTCCATTCTATCAAATGAGACCCAAAAAAATGAGAATACAACCATAAATACTATACGAAAATAGACCACAAAGTCGGCATTTTAATTAAAAAAAACGGTCGGAGTTTTTTTTTCTCATTATTCACTGCGTGCTCCAGGATTTTTTTTATATGGTGCACACTGACCACACAGACCCATTATCTCACATGTGGGCACTACCAGCTTTCTCCTGCTTGATTTGAAGCCGCTAGAATTTATGAGTATATATACGTCAAACACGGTACCTCATAAGACGTGTATATATATGGCCGCGACAACCAAAGGATTAATAAACCAACTCTTGCATATACCGTGGAACCTTGGTATAGAACCAGCTCCCTACTTGAACAAGGCTCAGCACTCGACCAAACAAATATGACCTTCCAGAACTTTGTTGTAAACTATTTTTTTTTTTTTTTTTACTGTGGAACCTTGGCTTACAAGTGTCCCAACGTACAAGTTTTTTTGAGATACGAGCCGTTGATCGGTCAATTTTTTGCTCTGAGTTATGAGCCAACATTTGAGTTATGAGCCAGCTCCCCCCCCCCTTCCCCCTCAACCCAAAACCTGGACACCTCTCTTGTTTATCTATGATTTCATGCTTTAATTCCATGGAAATCATCCTCTTTTTCTTCTCAGCACTGTTCTTTACACTTACTTTCTTAGGACCCATTGTTAGAAAAGCAAAATTTGGCCAAATGACTCTCAAAAATGTAAGCAAAGCAGGAGAGAACTACTCCCACAACTAGGTAAACAGTGCACTGAGTTGGCTTTGTTCTAAGCCTCTCGTTATAATAATGTATTATTATTATTAATTTAGGGAACCGAAGCTCTATTGTTATTGTAATTATTATTATTGATAATTTAGGGAACTGAAGCCCCTCGCCAGTGTCAAGGTTCCTTGATCCTGGTGAAGGAATTGGATATGTGCTCAAGTTCCCTTAATTAAGAATAATTAAGAATAAGTTTACTGAGTACACCAGGAAAAGTGTACGATAGGGTTATTATTGAAAGAATTAGAGGTAAAACAGAATGTAGGATTGCAGATGAGCAAGAAGGTTTCAGAGTGGGTAGGGGATGTGTAGATCAAGTGTTTACAGTGAAGCATGTATGTGAACAGTATTTAGATAAAGGTAGGGAAGTTTTCATTGCATTTATGGATTTAGAAAAGGCATATGATAGAGTGGATAGGGGAGCAATGTGGCAGATGCTGCAAGTATATGGAATAGGTGGTAAATTACTAAATGCTGTAAAGAGTTTTTATGAGGATAGTGAGGCTCAGGTTAGGGTGTGTAGAAGAGAGGGAGACTACTTCCAGTAAAAGTAGGTCTTAGACAGGGATGTGTAATGTCACCATTGTTGTTTAATATATTTATAGATGGGGTTGTAAAAGAAGTAAATGCTAGGGTGTTTGGGAGAGGGGTGGGATTAAATTATGGGGAATCAAATACAAAATGGGAATTGGCACAGTTAATTTTTGCTGATGATACTGTGCTTATGGGAGATTCTAAAGAAAAATTGCAAAGGTTAGTGGATGAGTTTGGGAGTGTGTGTAAAGGTAGAAAGTTGAAAGTGAACATAGAGAAGAGTAAGGTGATGAGGGTATCAAATGATTTAGATAAAGAAAAATTGGATATCAATTGGGAAGGAGGAGTATGGAAGAAGTGAATGTTTTCAGATACTTGGGAGTTGATGTGTCGGCGGATGGATTTATGAAGGATGAGGTTAATCATAGAATTGATGAGGGAAAAAAGGTGAGTGGTGCGTTGAGGTATATGTGGAGTCAAAAAACGTTATCTATGGAGGCAAAGAAGGGAATGTATGAAAGTATAGTAGTACCAACACTCTTATATGGGTGTGAAGCTTGGGTTGTGAAAGCAGCAGCAAGGAGATGGTTGGAGGCAGTGGAGATGTCCTATCTAAGGGCAATGTGTGGTGTAAATATTATGCAGAAAATTCGGAGTGTGGAAATTAGGAGAAGGTGTGGAGTTAATAAAAGTATTAGTCAGAGGGCTGAAGAGGGGTTGTTGAGATGGTTTGGTCATTGAGAGAGAATGGATCAAAGTAGAATGACATGGAGAGCATTTAAATCGGTAGGAGAGGGAAGACGAGGTAGGGGTCGTCCTCGAAAAGGTTGGAAGGAAGGGGTAAGGGAGGTTTTATGGGCGAGGGGCTTGGACTTCCAGCAGGCGTGCATGAGCGTGTTCGATAGGAGTGAATGGAGACGAATGGTATTTGGGACCTGACAATCTGTTGGAGTGTGAGCAGGGTAATATTTAGTGAAGGGATTCAGGGAAACCGGTTATTTTTATATAGCCGGACTTGAGTCCTGGAAATGGGAAGTACAATGCCTGCACTCTAAAGGAGGGGTTTCGGGATATTAGCGGTTTGGAGGGATATGTTGTGTATCTTTATACATATGTGCTTCTAAACTGTTGTGTTCTGAGCACCTCTGCAAAAACAGTGATTATGTGTGAGTGTGGTGAAAGTGTTGAATGATGATGAAAGTATTTTCTTTTTATGGTTTTCTTTCTTTTTTGGGTCACCCTGCCTCGGTGGGAGACGGCCGACTTGTTGAAATAAAAAAAATATAGATGGGGTTGTAAAAGAAGTAAATGCTAGGGTGTTTGGGAGAGGGGTGGGATTAAATTATGGGGAATCAAATACAAAATGGGAATTGACAGTTACTTTTTGCAGATGATCCTGTGCTTATGGGAGATTCTAAAGAAAAATTGCAAAGGTTAGTGGATGAGTTTGGGAGTGTGTGTAAAGGTAGAAAGTTGAAAGTGAACATAGAAAAGAGTAAGGTGATGAGGGTATCAAATGATTTAGATAAAGAAAAATTGGATATCAAATTGGGGAGGAGGAGTATGGAAGAAGTGAATGTTTTCAGATATTTGATAGTTGATGTGTCAGCGGATGGATTTTTGAAGGATGAGGTTAATCATAGAATTGATGAAGGAAAAAAGGCGAGTGGTGCGTTGAGGTATATGTGGAGACAAAAAACTTTATCTATAGAGGCAAAGAAGGGTAGTACCAACACACTTATATGGGTGTGAAGCTTGGGTTGTAAATGCTGCAGCGAGGAGGCAGTTGGAGGCTGTGGAGATGTCCTGTCTAAGGGCAATGTGTGGTGTAAATATTATGCTGAAAATTCGGAGTGTGGAAATTAGGAGAAGGTGTGGAGTTACTAAAAGTATTAGTCAGAGGGCTGAAAAGGGGTTGTTGAGGTGGTTTGGTCATTTAAGAACATAACATAAGAAAGAAGGAACACTGCAGCAGGCCTACTGGCCCATAATTTAGAGAGAATGGATCAAAGTAGAATGACATGGAGAGCGTATAAATCTGTAGGGGAAGGAGGGTGGGGTAGGGGTCGTCCTCATAAAGGTTGGAGGGAGGGGGTAAAAGAGGTTTTGTGGGCAAGGGGCTTGGACTTCCAGCAAGCATGCGTGAACGTGTTAGGAGTGAATGGAGACGAATGGTATTTGGGACCTGACGAGCTGTTGGAGTGTGAGCAGGGTAATATTTCGTGAAGGGATTCAGGGAAACCGGTTATTTTTATATAGCCGGACTTGAATCCTGGAAATGGGAAGCACAATGCCTGCACTTTAAAGGAGGGGTTTGGGATATTGGCAGTTTGGAAGGATATGTTATGTATCTTTATATGTATATGCTTCTAAACTGTTGTATTCTGAGCACATCTGCAAAAACAGTGATTATGTGTGAGTGAGGTGAAAGTGTTGAATGATGAAAGTATTTTCCCTTTGGGGATTTTCTTTCTTTTTGGGTCACCCTGCCTCGGTGGGAGATGGCCGACTTGTTAAAAAAAATAATATTATTATTATAATGACGATAGAGCTTCAGTTCCCTAAATTATTATCATTAATATTTTTTTTTTTATAAGTTGGCCATCTCCCACAGGGTGACCCAAAAGAAAGAAAATCCCCCAAAAGAAAATTACTTTCATCATTATTCAACATTTGTACCTCTATACTTTCATACATTCCCTTCTTTGCCTCCATAGATAACGTTTTTTGTCTCCACATACACCTCAACGCACCACTCACCTTTTTTCCTTCATAAATTCTATGAT